AAAATAATCAAGGTATTAGCATACTGATAAGTTAATAATATTTTTATCATATAGTCTAAAAGCCTATTTGTAATTAAATTATTGGTTAAATATTTCTAAAGCTCTTACTAAAATAATATCATATCTTGAGTAGCAGTTAGGGTTTCTATTCAAATAAGGTTTACTTGAATAAACAAATAATTTGAGTAATAATAATTTGATGTTGAATAAAGCAAAATAAAACAAAATAAAGCAAAATAAAACTAAATAAAACAAAACAAAACAAAATAAAGCAAATAAAACAAATAAAACGAAATAAAACAAATAAAATGAATAAAACGAATAAAACGAAATAAAATGAAATAAAATGAAATGAAACAAATAAAACAAATAAAAGCAAATAAAACAAATAAAATGAATAAAACAAATAAAATGAAATAAAACGAAATAAAACGAATAAAACGAATAAAAGCAAATAAAAGCAAATAAAATGAATAAAAGCAAATAAAATGAATAAAAGGAATAAAAGCAAATAAAACAAACAAAAGCAAATATATAAAACAAATAAAATGAATAAAAGCAAATAAAATGAATAAAACAAATAAACTGAATAAAACGAATAAAAGCAAATAAAAGCAAATAAAACAAAACTTGTATTATAAATAGAAACTGTGCATTAATACTAAAATCAAAAAAAAAAAATCAAATAGCTTTTATTATGAAATAATTAATTTTTGTTCCTTTAGTATTAATTATTGAATTGATCACACAAGCAGTAGTCAATTTAAACAGCATTGTTTTTAAAGAATTTTTTCAAAATATTTACTTAAATGTATAAAGTTTAATGTTGCAAAAATTTTTTGATATATACATCAATCTCAGTCCATATTTATATACTTTAATTTCTTTTTTTGACAAATAATAAATTTATCCATTTATTTATTTGTTTTAGTAGATTCAAATAGATTTTATTAGAACAAATGGTACACTACAGCAAATTTCAGAGAATCAATAATGCAAAAACACACATAATAAGTATATATGGCTTGTAGCCTAGGTCCTATAGAATATGCATGCAAAATTTTTGTGTTTTCTGATTTTTGGTATGTCGTTATTTATTATTATTAAAAATTGAAATTCGATTATTTCAAAAAAGAAAGGAAAATTAAAATAATTTATAGGGTCTAGTATTAGGCCACAAACCACACAGTCAACCCCGTTATTTCCGTTTAAAATTAGCATATGGACATTTGATTTCATTGGCTAATTTTTGTGATGATCTCCCTTCGAAATATCACACAAAAATCGAATCTTATTGGC